AAACATTATACAGGTATATACAAACATCAAGATAATATAAAAAATACGGATTGGGTCAATGGCAAGCCATAGGCCCCCCCAATATCTAGCACCCTTAGAACAGAAGGACGATCAGCCGCGCAATGCTCACTGACCGTATACTGGTGTGTCCGTATATCTGAATCGTGAAAACTAAGGGTACCAGTCATTGCAATTGGCACCGAGTTCGAACCTGCCAATTCCTACATTTTAGCATACAAAAACCAAGTCTAAAATCAAGATTGAGAAAAACACACATTCTTAACCAACATTCTAAATCTAGATCTACAATCACTTTGGTAGCGCCTTGATGAAGCTAGCACGAACCTCAGCTTCTGTGATCATGTCTCATGCTTGAATTGCCCGCTTGATCATAACAATTCGCTTCTCTTTCGCAGTCGTCGCAGTGGATTGGCTCAACACCCACAAATCGCGCAGGTGCTGTTTGACCGGCCCCATGATGGAAACATCCAATGCCTGACAATGTGAGGTGCTGTTCGGGGGCAGTGGATACAGTTCACACCCCAACTCTTCACCAACAATTCTGTCGCTTTCGTCCGTCACATGCGAGTCGAAGTTGTCGACCAGGAGGACCGATAGGTTTTCGATATGCTCGGCCAACACTTCACGAAGGTAAAACTTCCACACACTGCCATTCATCCACGCCTTCTCTTGCGTAGCATAGTGATGGCCTGGTGGGTAGTCGTCAAACTCGTTGGACTCGATCACGCCGCCAGCCGCGCCACGTATAACAAAAAGTATTGGCAACTTGACACCATCACCGCGAACCGTTAACAGCGCTGTCATCCTGTACGAGTGGGTCTCCGAATTGGCCACATAGCTGCCACCGCCGCGGATCGCCCAAATCGTGTTGGGGCACATGTCGTACGTCAATCCAGTTTCGTCAGCATTAAAGTCACAGTCCACGATCACGTCAGGGTGATGAGAGTGGAATTGCTTACCAAAGAAATCCGGGTTTCCTCCAGGTCCACTTGGGTCTTCTTTTGGCGACAGACACGCTGCCTCGAGAATCCATGACGGTCCATAAAGTGCTGGAGAAGCCGCAACAGAGAGCTGTATCCCGACTTCCTTGTTGCCATGTACTCCTCGATCCACGGCATGTTGCCATCGCGCAGGAACTGCATCATGTGCGCGGACGTTGTTGCAACCTCCTGTCGACGAAGGTCCTTCATGTGCGTCACGAACTCATGGCTGTCTGGAACATTTGTCTTGCCGCCACATGCCCCAGTGTTCTTCTTACGTGTCTTGTATCCTTTGAACTCGGCCATCATCGACTTGTCGCGCACCCAATCACGCACACAACTCTCAGCATAGCCCGTGGTCACGATGGCGTTTCTGAAACTTGTGGTTTCGGCCAAGCGGGCGACACTGAGCTTTTGGGCAAGAGTCGGTCGCTTGCGATGTGTTGCTGACATGGCTGACTGGTGGTGTTGTGACATTCAAGGTTATTATGTCGTGGGGTGCAAATCAGTTTAAATTAAGCCGGGAAAGGTTTTAACCAGTCAATGTTGAATAAACAAATTCCTTTGATTTGATTGGCTAGTTCAAATATTAATTCAACAAATTTGGCGCGCCGGTATTCAGCGTCGTTCCCTGTAACTGGAAAGTGATTCTAACCAATAGCGAGCGAGAAACAATTCCAACCAATTGCAATCAAGGACTGAATCCAACCAATTGCTGTCGAGAAACGATCCAACCAATAGCGATTGATGGGAAATTCAAGCAAATAGAGATCGAGAGAAAATTCCAACCAAGAGGGATCATCGATAGAAACGTCCAACCAATAGAAATCGAGAATAGAACCAACCAATCATGATTGATCAAGTGAGTGGCGTTTGGTCGAACTTTGAAAGGAATTGCGCGATAGGCATGAATCTATGTAATGGTGGGGAATAGCCAAGTGAATCGTTATAAGACATCACTCTATATTGCGTAAGTCGTGTAGATGACAACAGCGTAGCCTAACTCACACCTGATCCTCAGTCCCACTGTACGGATTACTAGTAACTAGGGATTAATGTAATGCACTACTCTGGTCCGAAATAGTTGCTAGGTTCGATTGTGACTTGATTTATGTATGTGTTCCTCAAATATGACCTCTGATATTTAATATTTTCGAAGTAAATATATAGTATTATAAAGGTAAATACCCCAAAATTGGCATGCGCCGCCAGTGGCCTCGCAGACCTGGTGAAAGGAGTGCCGTACGTGACCCCCGGCACAAGATAACGGTACGACGTCAATGAAAGATCTATAGTAGGATATTATTGGTTGGTAATGCCGCGATATGCTTGATGACCGACTCTTCCAGCAGGGAACCGAGCATGTCGCGGCCTGGGCTGCCCATGAAACGTCAAGATGGCCGTCTGGACTACAGATAAGCCAGCGAAGCCCATGAGCTTAGGAGACGTTACTAGGAGGATACGTAAAGGTAATCGACTCTTAGTGTTAGCGATGTTAGCTATATTGATTGTCCGGCGAGTGATGCAAACGTCCGAAATTTGGCGCAGTTCACTTGTCAAAGCATATCTCGGGAACAAGAACGAATTGTGTGGTGCATAAACTAGCCAAACAAAGAGGAAATATCTGGCTTTCATTTCCACCAATCAGAAAGAATAAATACGTATATTTACAAAAATGGGACAAATTAGAAGGGGTACCTAACAACTATTTCGGACCAGAGTAGTATTTATTTAATTCAATCACACAAATCTGTGATTTTCAATAGTACAGATTTGGCCGAGTGGTTTCAGTAATGCGATGAAACCTGAAGGTTGAGGGTTCGAGTCCCAAGTTTTAACTTTTCTTTTTCCCAACAGTTTTTTACAACAACGACCAAGCCTTACAGTAGCGAGCGACCCGCCCACAAAATTGCGCGCACCGCAGCGTAGTGGAGGTCGTGTTTATAATTTTGGGCTAGTAAAGCCGCTTGATGACAACGACTTGGTCGGAATGGCCTTATGGGGTGCAAGGTACCAAAGTAAGACTAGTCGTCATCACTAGGCAGTCTGACTAGGGGTGTCGCGTTTGAGTGTAACCAAAGTATGACTAGTCGCCATCACTAGGAAAGTTTGACTAGGGGTGTCGCGATCTTTCTTTGAGTGTGCTCGTATTCTAGGTCAGTGTGGCGTGGACATGCGACGCACGTGGGCCGGTCGGCCTTGAGAGGTAATAGTTGTTCTAGTACTTTGCGTATTCCTAGTACCGTTCAGTGTTAATTCGTGATGCATGCAATCGTATTTTGGACGTAGTAGTGGTATCATATCAAGTGTCACTATAATGTTCTACCCAATTATGTGAAGTATATCCTATGCTAACTTATCCATGATGTTTATGCTTTGTTATCGATAAGGCGACCGTCACATATGTAAATTTCATTCCTTTTCCTGCTTTCCAAAGATGTACTATTACAGTATGTCGTGGTTGAGCATTTCGAGGTATGGTGCACTGTACTACGTAGTATTTGTGAAAGTATTGCATCGTATTTACTCTGATGTTTTGCAGCGTCCAAAGACTTCTATTTTGAAGTTATCGAGCATGAAAAACTGTCCGGATGTGGGCATTGTAAGCACTCTTAGTGTGCTACTGTGAGCACAGATCGCATTTCTTGTTGGGGCTGCATAGCACTTCTGTGGTGTGATGAATTACGTTGGCTTGTATCTTCGATATGAATGCATTGACATCCTACCCGATGGCCGCTTCATGGCTGCTTCTCGTTGCTACCGCATTTTTAATACTCACCAAACGTCCTTTGTTAATGTTGGTCATGTAATGCTTCGTGTACAGCATGAAATTGCCCTTGGCCATGTAGCCACAGCTCCCTACGATGGAGGACAGTTGAGAGTTATAAACCTCCGCTAGGACACTTGAGATCTTCTCAAGTTGTGGGAAATTATCGATGCAGTAGCCACTACAATATTGAGATTAGGTAGGTATTGTAGAATGTGTACACCTCGAGCAATTTTTGTGATTAGAGTAGTGTAAACGGTCAACGAGAAACCAAATGTTGCGGAAAATCCAAGGCTCACGAAGCATGCAGTAGTTTTGGATGTTGCATGCGTTGTCGATGATAACATATCGCTTGCCATCATGTCGCTTTAGCCGCTGCGCCAAAATCGAAAACGGGTGGAAGGGACTCTCGAAATCGTACATCAAGGTGAAGCCCAGGCAAATTGAATGCGGACAGACGAAATGAAAGATGCCTGTGTAATTGGTTAAGTTTCGTTAATGATGTTATAACCACTAGGATACTGTACCTGGAAGTTGGTACTTCGAGCCAAGTGCTAGTTTGGTGCAGATTTTATCTCGCGGTTTTCGAGAGTACTGGCGCAGCGGTCGTACACATGGGGCGCCAGGAAAGCACGACGACAAGTCATCGTCACCAACTGTAGGTTCCGCAAATTGCACATTATTGGCCTCCTTTTCATGTGCTGGAATTCGTGACATATAGTCGCACATCTCCACAAATTGCAAAAGCACAGGGGAAAGGCTCCGCCACATAACATGGTTTGCATTGCGAAGGAGCTGTGAGGTTTGCAAAGCCTTAAAAAGCGTTGGCATTAAGCCCTGCAAAGTGACGGCATCGTCAATGTTGAGGCAATGATGGTTAGCCAGTTGGGCGAGGATAAGCATGGCAGTCTCAGGCTCGTGAATAAGGCCGTTCGGGACGACAGATGTTGAGGACAAATCGTACAGGAAATCTACCCACACCGGGTCACACAATCCCGTGGCACCAGACAGGTCAATTAACTGCTTGACCAGACCGTAGAGAAAAATGGTTGCACTGTCGGAGTGTAGTAGTGCCAGAAGCTGGGAGTGTTGGTTGGCCGACATCGATTTCACCGACTTGGGATAGCCGACAAAGTGACGCAAAAGGTCGCGGGCAGGCTTGCTTCGGATCGCCAATCGATCAGATATAGTAACTTCGGTACCCACGTCAGGGCTAGTCGGGTAACTTGGCGCCCCTCCGGCAAGGTCAGCACGACATGCCAGCTTGGTGCCATCACCAATTAGGATAGGTGCCGTGTCTATAGAGCCGCAATGGGGGCAATTCATACCCTCGTGCAAGTCTAAATTCACCCTACGCATTTAAGTCATGACTGTTACTTCATCGTCCGAATTATTATTTGTCCAAATCTCATTTTTACCTGGACAGCACTTTCCAGCATCCATGAAGAAATGTTGTCCAAGGACAAAACACTTCGCTAATAGTTGCGTAGAACGATGTCAAAGTGCGCCAGACTCCTCGAAGTGAGGTCGGCCCGTCCATCAAGCTCAAGCGTATGAAGCTGCACAGGTCAATGTCGAAGTAAGTGCTCGGAGTGATTCGGACGATCCCTTGCTGGGCTCCACTTCCACAATACTGTTTCGTGCATCCGTCGCCTTCGCAGAGTACAATCTGCACCTGGAGCACATATTAAGTGATGCCGCTGCATGTAGTGTATACAAACCTTAGCAACTTTTTGGCACGTCATTCCAAACACTGCAATAGGGCTAGTAATCCAAGTGCCTGATAACGCAAACGGCAAACCACATGGACAAGCCACAGCGGCGTTGGCAGGCACGCAGTAGTTGTCGGGCATGAACTCCAGCAAGTCAAACCCTCGAGTCGATTTTACAAGCGAAATAGCTTGAGGGGTGGTTGGGATTATATCCTTGTCTTCAATTGTATGTGCTTCTTTTTCAAACACAGCGGGGGGTGAGCACCATTCGCTGTCGTACTGGACAACATCCGCAACGTCGAGTGCCTGGCTAAACTCTTTCCAACACACCACGTGGTGGCAAGTTCGCGTTGTAGAACACGACGTGCATTCCCATACACCAACCCCGACTGCTTGTATCACAACACGGTCGAAAGGGTCAGCCTTTGACGCCACACTTGCACACACAATGCCATGTTCGTCTTTGTCCAAAACGAACTGTATGCAAGGGCAAATGGTTGTGAACGTTCCGTGGTGCGGTCGAATGTCATTGGTGGTCAAAGACTTTACAGCCCTACATTCTACATTTCAGTAACTAAAAGGTTTCATAAGTGCATACCGCACGTGGTAGCAATCGCTGTCAGTACAAAGAGACTCGAACTCGCGGTAGCTCGAAAACGGCATTCGACCCTCGAACAGCGCCTTAGCAACAATGTATCGGCCGTTGTTGTAGCACCGCGTGCAATAATACACTTCATGCGTGGAGGGGTCTTGAAATACAAACAAGGCACGAAATACGTGGGCAGACTTTCCTTTGAATGACAGCTTCAGCATTCCACTGCTACTGCTTGGGAGCAGGTACAAGTGCCCTACATTGTATTTTAGTGGATAAAGATTCCCCCATAAATTCAGACCTGGAACAAGGGTCATAAACATCTTTGCAGACTGCACGGCCCCCAAATACGATGCGCTGTGCATTGAACGGCTTGTTTGTTCGTGCAGCACTTCTCCTTGTTGCCCCCCCGATTGAATAGTATTGTCGCTGTTGTATTGCGTGTCGTCAATGCCAAAGTCAACTTCATCACTGGGGTAGTCGCCAATCTCGCATTGACCAGGATTTACAATGGTGCTTTGAAATGTATTTACCCCACGTTGGGGGCCGGGTGGCGATACTGAGTTGCAGTTAGTGCCCGTTGGATTTGCTATCGTGGGCGCAGCGTAGTTCACAAACGCACGGTCCAGGCGAGCGATATGACGTCGATGTGCCACTATCATATCGCCAACGAAGGGATCAAGACGTTCGTCGCACTGTGAAATTCGAGACTGCTTCGATGGCCCAGTCAAGGGGCTTACGTCAGTGGGCGCCGACCTAATGCAGATCTGAGATCGAATGCATCTGCAGTATGTGTGTGTTACCAGCCACAAGGGCATATGGTTCCATCGTCGCACTCGGAGTTACATTGTTCGCAGTTCCGAGCTCCGCGTTGATCACCGCGACGCTTCATTCCCTTCACAGTACACTGTGAATCTTTTGGGTCCATGTGAATAGAAGGCATTCGTTACCATTGGCTAATTTTTATCCAATCACATCGTCCATAAATTACTGGCTCGTGTCATTTTACAATTTTTCAGCCCATGAGCATCGCGTTGATCCCAGAGTTGTACGAGGCGATTGGCACACCAAATATCTCCAGCAACAACCTTGATACGTGATATATTGATGTCACCGATAACACAGCTTCACGTTCGATGCTGCACCAAAACACCTTTGAATCGCTAACGACCCAGATGTAGCTTTGTTGCGAAGGTATACTTGGGCATTCTTGTAGTATTTTATTATTTTACTCCTCTTTGCATAGCGGGCACTTGTACTGTTGTTTGAGGCCCTTGATTGCAAAACTTCACGTTGGAGCAAGTCAGACATGAAACCAAGCTGGATTCCGGAGGAGTTTTGGAAGCAGCCAAATTACCTTAGGAACACACAGAGTGAACAACGCTTATTGTACCCTAACACACATCTCATCTGAGATTCCATACGAAATGTACGTACTACTCTTCAGGTTCAACTTCTATGACAGCTGTACAGTTCACGTTTTTGACGCCTACCAGAAAGGTTCGGCCTTATACTTTGAGACTGGCCATGTTATTGCGTATCGTCTGAGCCGTAGGCAAGCCCTCGCCTCCGAGGGACACGTTAGCGCGGTCCCTGATGTCGGCAATGTTCTTCAACGAGGGCCTTTTTGAGACTAGCCACGGTTAATTGCATAATATAAAGAAATATTTTATACTACGTATTATTATCTTAACATTCGTATTTATAGGGTATATATTTATTATATTTGTGAGGTCTGTGTTTAGCTCTATTTCCGTCCACGAGGCGTCTTTGGAGGTAAACTTACTGTTACTAGCAGTCGAGTACTTTAGAAGTATTTCTAAGTACTACATGTAGTCCGGAACACTACAGTACGTAAGCACGTGCAGTACGCAAAGTTAGGGAGATTTCGCAAACGTCTCATTACCGTACAGTAATACATGCATCAGCGACGGTTTCGATGAATTAATCAACCAAACCAATACTGTACACTCGTCGCCCAACACGCCCGAAGGTCCAGGGAGTCGCCCGCTTACAAGTGTGAATCCATGCTTTATTTGAGAAGCCCGCCTAATGGAATAAAAACGGCTTTTTCATCCATCTTTCTTCAATGGCTGTAATACTGTAGTATTGACTCCACGTACACTTCTATTTACTATTAATAGTTCTAGTATTTAATACTACCGGTAATATGTATGATACATTTGAAAGCATAGTTAAAAAACTGATCGGAATTTGTAGGAGGCATTTTCGGAGAAATACATTTAAACTAATCAAGTTGAACACGCTCATTTGATTGGTTATAATCACCCATTCTTGACTTGGTGTGTCCAGAGTGCTTCACGATCTGGATGGTGCTCTGATTGACCTCGTCTAGAGTATAGCTGTGGTGATGGGATGTCCCATGTTACCGACTGCCTGTTTGAACTCAGGCGTTCTTGTGTAAATGTGCACAGAAGGAAATGTGCACAGAAGGATTAGCGCTGCCTCGTTGTTGAGAGGACGATGCTTCGCATTTTCTTAGCGATCCTAGAGATCTAAGAGCAGCTGTAATAGTCACTGAACCCGCGACGCATCAACACAGTTGGCGTAGTCACTTTCTGCACGCCCATGACGCGGATGGAGTGTTCATACCCATTCCTACGATGAGACCGTTATCTATCGTTGGTTGGAAGTACATGGTCTCCTGCATGTAGCAGGTCCGCTCGTGAGGAACCGGCAAAGTTGTAGGGCGACGTATGCCAGGTCTAGTCGGTTCATGAGATTCATGGTGCTTTGGACGACCGACCGACAGCTTGGCCTTGAACTCCATTGGAGTGAGGGCTGATTTTGAATTATATATGATAAACCTCATGATGTTCAAGGTTGCATGTTGGGACTTATGCAGTGTGAGGGTTTGAGCAGAATGACCTCGAACAATGTAAATCCGAGAATAAACTTGCCCCAAGGTCGTGCATCTGAAAGTGCACCCTTGAGGATGGGTTGCATCATGTACAGTAGGGAGCCATGCGACCAGTTCGTCATCTTCCACGCTGAGGCACCGGTTGTTGGACAACGATCGACGACGTTTGGAAGTCGAAGTTGTGGATAAAATCCGTGGTGGACGGTGGAGTATGGGTAACTCTGTCTCGGTCGTACCGATGGTAGTCTTCATCGTGACCCGCCAGAGGAAGGAGTAGTTAGCCTCAAAACCTGGAGAAGGCAGGAAGCAGAAACAGACACGTGAGTGGATGGAGGAAGAACTGAAAGTTGGTAACGTCTGACTACACAGAAAAGTAGCCAATCAGACTAGACTATGATTGGCCACGCCATCTGTGATGTTTCGTGGCGAATGTTTGCGCTGTCTTCTACCTGAGTAAAAGGCACAAAAACCTCCTACACAGCTAGTAGAATGCTGCTACCTGACTGACAGGGCAGTGGGGGGGTTCTCTAAAACATCAGGGTGTTCTGACTTCTTTCATGTGCTTCACAAGTGCGTGTGCGTCAGGTAAGCTCGGTACCGCACCATAGTTGCCCGTGTTGCGCTTGCGCCCTTCGAACCTTTGATGTCGGACGGCTTGGTCTGGTCATGGACCCATTCATACACACTATTTTCGTTCTATCCCAGTAGGAACGCAGCGTGATGTTGCGGCGATGATCACAGCATGCATCTTCTGAGCTATAGTTGATCGGGCTCGCCGCTTGATCCCGTGTGGCTGTTCGAGCACTAGCTCAGTAACCATAAGCAGAGTTGATGAAGTTGCAGATGTGATGGCGGTCAATTACATTTAAATTTGCCGCGATTTGCTGTAGCCAATCATATGTTAGTATTTCTGTTCGAATTTTTTGATTTGTAATTAATGACCATGTGTGCTACCAAAACTGCACGGCGCCATTCAACGTCGTTCCCTGTACTTTATGTACAGCGGATCCTCGATTTTTGCACCTGGTATAAACGAATAACCTATGAAAGAGAATGTAATATTTATTCCCTTCAAAGTGAATATTATATTCTCTTTCAAGGCGCTTGAGTTTACAGTTAAACGTGGGGGTGAGCCAGGCTTCGGACTTAATATATCTTTGAGATAATAATCTAGATAAGATAGCAAAAATAATCTATTTCTTATGTGACGTTGGATGCAATGATCTATTTTCTGTGCCGGTAGATATCGATAATCTATTTTCAAGCTTCGTCCAATTATCCTTCTCGAAGACGAGCTGTCTGCTGCTGAGAAGGATGCATTGGTCATGTTCCTGTTGGACCCTGGCACTGTTGCAGTCCCCAGCACGCTGTTGAGCTACGTGGACGAACTTTTGGCTCCAAAACGTCGCCGAATGGGGCCAACAGCAAGCAAGTACAGCTGCTTGAAGTGAAGGTTAGTCGTTCCAACGAGCAACATGGATGAACAGCTCTTCAGCGTCGCAAAGTACATCATGACAGACCATAGAAAGCAGTTGCATCCTGTGAATTTCGAGATGATCATATTCCTTCGCGCGAATCCATCGTATTGAAATGTTTCTCCCTTGTGTAATACGAAGTAATATATTTGAACAATTATCGATATTTTGCATTCGCAAACAATTATTTATTATCGAGGTCGTCGAATATCGTGAAATCTATTGGCCGAGGCTCAATTTTAGATAGTCGCAATAAATATATTATTTCGGAAGCCTGGGGTGAGCAGGTCGTTGTCGACGGAAAATGGCTCAGGTGCAAAGCGATGGCCTTGACTGTCTCAAAGCTGTGGAGTTCCACGGCTTCGCACACACACACTCAATGCCCTTATCAGTAGTACCACTATTTATACTACTATTACTAGTACACTACTACTACGTAGTCTACGGTTGCACGCACATTTCAGGCGCGCAAAGTTAGATTCCGCAACAGAACACATAGCGGCAATCCTCGGACGCAGCCAATAAGTTTACGTGAGGTATGGCAACAGTACAGAGATACAAAATCATTGTAGTCAAACAACAACCTGCTAACAATTCTCTTCATACATCTCGAGTTCCAAGGACAAAAGCTATGCTGCTTCAAATTGTAGAATTCGTACGCAAGCGACGATGAACACGAACACGAGGCGTAGCTAAAGATGTTACGATAGTTTTGGCACAGCATGGTCATGTTGCGTACGATGAAACTGACGAGAAAGATACGAAGGATGTCTACGATCTGTGCAGGATTATCTTTTTAGTCGTGGATTCAAACGAGGACACAAGACAGACAGGTCAGAACAAGTACGGACTGACTAACGACGTTGTTGTTGCTAGAGATAAGTACATCAAATATATGTCTGGTACGATTGAATTAACACCTCGTCGACCTGTTGTTTACATGGATGAATCATATATCCACCAAAACTACGTCCGACACAATGACAGCCTCTACTACCCTGACGACGTCCACAACAAGGCCCCGAAACCCAAGCACAAGGGACAGCCGCTCTGCTTTGTTGATGACATCCTTGACAGCGGCACTGATGAGTCGAAGCTCTTGATCACGCAGGTTCTTTCGAGGCGGCCATAGGCAAACGAAGGCCTATCATGGCATGTTTAATCATGCCTATTTTGTCAAGTGGATGGAAGAGGTAATGGATGAACTCGACTTACTTGGCGAAACTGGCGCCTTGATAGTGATGGACAACACGTCGTATCACAAGGGCGCCCCGTCTGACACGCCAAAAGGCACGTGAAAGAAGCAAGACCTCGTAGCGGCCTGTGAGCGCCTTGGAGTGGCTGCGCCTGCCAATGAGTACCGATTAGGTGTGGCCTTACCTGAAGGATAACGTGGGTCGGCAATACACCACGGACACGGCCATGGAAGACGTGCGGGCGGGCTCGACTTGGCCTTCAGCGAGCTAAAAATGGTGATTTGATTTATCGGCGCCACAAGGACGCGGGAGACGGCGCTTAAAGAGCACAACGATGTCTTGAGGTGATATCATTTTGTTGATTAATCTTTACAGTTCGCGACATGAACATGTGCAACTTTCATACGGATTCGATTTGATTTGGCCGAGTTATGGAAAAATAACACTTCGATGGTTGTCGCCAACTGTTAACCATAGCCAGTAATACTCCAATACGGCTACCGAAAAAGACCACCCCGAAATGGGCTAGAAAATATTCCTTCTTTTACTTTTCTTTGAAATTTGATGGAAAAAGAAAACGAGGGGACGTCTCCGAAATCTCCCTATTATATTTTTACTTAACGCTTATTGGTCGAATTTTTATTTATTCGGTGTGTAGGGTACCCGGATACCTCTAGGAGGTATTCGACATCCGGGCCAAAAGCCAAAATATTCCATCGACTCAGAGTAATTTGATTGGTCAAGTCTCAGGAAAATCGGTAATTCGAAGTACCTGTCGTGCGCTCCGTACGAAGGTGGAAGCATTTACTACACACCCAGAGCTAGAGGCTACGAATGTCATAACGATATCAATTAATTTGACAATACATTACTCTGGTCCGTAATGTTTGTACCATTTTTTTCAACGTTTTGCCATTTTCCCGGAATGTATCCGTTGCTTAATCTAACTGGTGCAAAAGGACGAAGGCTATCTCCTCTTTGATTGGCCAGTTCAAGAAGTTTAATACCGCAGCAAAACAAATCGTTGAGATATGGCTCGCCAAGTGCGCCATGCCTTTTTTTCAGCATAAACCGACCCTCCAGTCAGTCAAAATCGTTGTTGTCGCGTGCACTCGAAGCTTCAAGTCCTTATCTGATGTCTTAACACTGCTGAGGAACTTGGTACGTTTGTTTTGTAGTCTTGAGGACTGATGCAAAGTCTGGCGACGATGATTGTTGCAGCATGCACAAAATCCTCCAGGAGAATGCTATAGAGAAACTTTGAGTGCACATAGCACTAGATTGTATAGCACTATAGTGCATTCATTGACGGCATACCCGTATCTTGAGTCTAGGCGCATCCACAGCGCTCGCATTGCCTCAGCATGCGGCGACAACCGTCGTTGGCCTATTTTGGGGTATAAACCTTGGATAATTAATATATATTTCCTAATATTATCGAGTTAAAGAGGAACAATTAGAAATATTTCGAAAATGCATACTTTAATCAAGTGTAAAATATGGTACAAACATTACGGACCAGAGTAGTATCAAGCAACTTGACAATAATTGTTTCAGATTGCTTCCAAACCCCATTGAGTAAAATAGTTTTTTGTCCGGATGCATTTCTAGGGGTAGATTTGATACACAACGTTTATTCTAGCATTTAATGACGTCATGCTTAAGCAAGACTATTTGCTTATACAGTGAAAAATGACGTGCATTCTTGACCTTTTCCCTGTTTATCGCGAATGCAACGAGGTTCTATCGCATTTTGATTGGCTAGTCCGATTCTTATCCAGATAGACTATGAGTTGGATATTGACGAAAACAACTGTGTTTAGAGAAAGAGCTTAAGGTAGTGCATCGATTTTCTGAACCACATCTAATTCCTGAACCATTTCAATATCTACCAATTAGATCGACCATTTTGGTGATCATGGTTTTCGATTGGATATGATATTATTCGAGGTAGTATTAATTTACATTTCACCGTGATGAAAACCAAGCTATTTTATTACACTATGACAAATAAATTTCATCGCCTCTGGCCATCCATTGAACGATGGTGGCCACGTACGAGCAGATCCATGAAGCCATTCGACGGGTTGAGACAGGCGAGTCAAAAACAGCAGTCGTGCGCAGCTCTCCTGTGACCAAGACCACACTGTTTCACTACATCAAAATAATGAAAACGACCGGGACGGTCGAACGACAAAAGCGTGGGCCAAAACAACTCCTCCCCCCGGGCATCGAAGAGGACATCGTTGAATGGATCGCCGCCATGCAGCGACGTGGATGGCCGGTTGATCGTGCAGCCGTCATTCACAAGGCGTGCCAGGTCCTTTCGCTTCACGCCGGTATCCCACGAAGCGTTTCGCGCGGATGGTATCAAAAGTTTTGTACGCGCAATCCGCGCATATCCGAACGACTGGCGCAACGTCTGTCAAAAAGTCGCAACAAGGTCGACAAGGAAGGTATAATAACATTCTTTAATTCGCTGTTAAAAGCTTGTGTTGGGTTCCACTGTACGGCGCGGAACGTATACAACGTCGACGAGACAAGCTTCAAGACCAAGACACAGTCTAAACGCGTCGTTGCTATTCGCGGGTCCCGCAGCGTGTGGATCGAGGAGAATGCAGAGGCTTATCACCTGACAATCGTGATGACTGCGACTGCAGATGGCACGCTTGTCCCACCGGCATTCATCCTACCGGGAGTTACGTGCGAGACGAGTGTGTTGGACGAATGCTCTGTAGACGGCGCCCTCGTGACCACGGCACCTAAGGCGTTCATGAACTCCACCATTTTCAACACGTGGCTTATTGCCTTTGGCGAATGGAAACTCGAAGCTCGTGGTGGACATCCAGCCGTTGTGGTGCTCGATAACTGTTCCTCGCACCATTGCGTGGAATCTGAGTGGATTTGTGAAACGTATGGGATTTTGTTGGTGTTCTTACCTCCCAATGCAACTCATTTGCTGCAGCAGGATGTTGCAATCTTTCGTTCCTACAAGCGAGACATCAAGAATGCCGTGAAAACGTACCTTCGCGCGTTCAACGCCGTTTCACTACCTCGCGCCAAAGCCATTTCCATCGCTGGTGAAGCATTCAACAAGCTTCGGTCGCGTAATGATCTTCTGGCCAACGAACGACGTGAGCTGTCCGGGATTGTTCAGAATGGGTTTCGTACCTGTGGAACGTGGCCGTTGTCGTTGCCGTTGATGCTCAAGCGCTTGGCGCTTCAAACGTCCAACGGCGTCGACAAGGACATTGGTGCTGCAACGTGGATTAGAACTCAAGTCGCCGCTCGCGAAGATGTTCTGACCGTACCGGCGAGGCACACCGGCAAGGAAAGAAAGCGTGTGTCAACGGACGATGAGTGGTTCTCGATGGCAGGCTTGCATGCCGCTTCCTCCATTCCTAACAAGCGCAAAAAAGCTTTCATTGCAAACAGACGTAAAAAGATCGTGTGAATTTTTAATGACTCAAAGTCGTTTCAGAATCTCCCCCTGTATTTCTATTGCATACAAATCACAAATATCGGTAAATTGAGCATCTCTCAACGTTAAAATATGACCCGTGAATTATATTTTCTCATCATACATCCAGAATCACTTGATTTTAATTAATAGCTGAGCAATGACCCTCCGAAGAATGGATGAAAATACGACCGGAAATGGTTCCGAAAATCGATGCACTACCTTACTGTAAGTTACAGTTAATCCGCTATGCAGAATTCAGTTGTTTTTTAACTTCCGTATTTTTAAGGCCATACAGATAACGACGGCAATAATTGCCAAGTCGTACTGCGCAGAATTTTGGAATATTAATATCCAAACGCCATCACTTGAAATGTGGATAATTTCACACATTCTAGCCAATGGGTGACTGTTTTCACCACGACGGTACGCATGATGTAATGTCAAGTTCGTATCAACAAATAATAGAAAATGGCAATTATTCTGTATCACGACCAGCCGTATGTTCATAATATCCAAGAAGCAAGTAATAAATTGTAAGTGACGCCCCCAGTTACCAAATGCTCAACGATTGACTGCTTACTGTTAACGTAGATTACAGAACGCTACGTGTATACGTAAGCTTACTGTACTCAAACAATCGAGACAATCGCATCAATAGCATCTGCGCGAGAAGTCGGCAAATGGTCAATCGTGCATACTTACATACTTAAGTAATTATATTGAAGAGATTACGAGTATAGTACCGGTCCGGTACCGTAATTATTGGGAAGCTCTTCAGATCATTGAGGCCTCTAATTGGCGGCCGGTAGACAAAGTGTCAGATCGCGGTGATAAGTGGTACAGTACAATATCAGATAGGCATGCAATACCTATCCAAGTTTAAATATCTATCCGTGGGTACTTGGAAGTTAAAATAGCTGACACCCAAATCAATGGTCATTTGATCTTGTAGTTTGTAAGTGAAATCATATCGAACATATTTTAACCTTCCTTAGTCGAAATATATAGCATGCAAATCAATTCAAGTACTGGGCTGTTGTTGAGGAGGACAGTAATACTGTAGTACCTTTCTAGAATATCGGATGCAGGTACTGGTACCGGTACTGTACTGTATACCGAGTACTAGTACGTAGTACAGTAGTGCACGTGCACAGCGAATACAAGGAAATAACAAAAGCCTTCAGTTCTGCCAGGAGATCAACATGCGTGCAACATGAGAGCCTACCTTCTTAAGATGTCAATAACATCACGGCTTGTGAAAGGCATGTTAATTCCATGTACAGTATGTACCGTTAGTGCGTGTGATTTCAATGGGTGTGTGTTTTACGGTATTTTGGCCGATGAAATTGATTTGATATTTTAACACTTTTGCCGTCGTCGTCGTCGTTTAGTTTTGAATTCTCCAATTGGTTGAAAATTGGCCAATCCGACGTCAATAACATCACGGCTTGTGAAAGGCATGTTAATTCCATGTACAGTATGTACCTGTACGTTAGTGCGTGTGATTTCAATGGGTGTGTGTTTTACGGTATTTTGGCGGATGAAATTGATTTGATATTTTGACACTTTTGCCGTCGTCGTCGTCGTTTAGTTTTGAAGTCTCCAATTGGTTGAAAATTGGCCAATCCGACGTCATTTCTGTGACACTTCGATGCAGGTTACAATAAAATACAGAGTAGTACTCGATTTGCAAAATAATATTGATCATACAAATTGCTAGATATTTGAGGAGTACCACTTGGCAATTATTTTCGTCGTTATCTGTATCGTACTCCCTCCGTTCCAAAATAATTGCGCGAATCAGAAAATGGATGTACGCCTCCTCGAATAAAAATACAAACCCTCCAATATCAAATAATCCAGAATGTAATTATACCGGTGTAACGATACAATCGTCCAATCAAAGCATGCAAAATCTGTGTCTCAGGACCAATCAAATGACGGCTTTGTACTTGTGCGCCAGCTCCTGCTGAAACCTTTCGGCAGCCTGGTCATGTAGCTGCCGTTGCTGCGAAGCAAGACCTCCCGAAGGATGGCCTCGCGCTCGTCGTCGGTGAGGTTGCGCCTTTCAGGTGCCATTTCCGGAATGTTGGTGTTATACAGTGTATGTTTTATATGAAAATTTGTATGCACAATTTTGAACGCGGGTAGCGCCGTCAACTCTTGATATTTCCCGCTCATCATCGCACCAATAGTGAGCGCTGGCTACGCTTGTAATTATCCAATCAAAGCAACGCATTTCGAATCCAGGCAGGCGACACCAGGTTTCCAATTTACCTTCGAAATATAATGAGGTGTCATGTACACCCTCCTGAAACTCGCGCAATTATTTTGGAACGGAGGGAGTATGTGATACCGGTACGGTACAGTTAACTCCTCCCGGACTCAGTCACGTGACATTTCATAACATTGGCCAATCAGCTCGTCAGAAGGGTCGGTACAGTGTACTGACAAGAAACTAGCAAGCGTTGCCCTCAACTATACTGGTACATTGAAGTTTTAAATGTTTTTTTAAATGTTATAATTCGTGCTTGTATTGAGATGACGCTTGGGTGGGTTGGTGCCAGCACAGTGTACTGTACAGCAAGCACTCCGGAGTTCTACATTATACCTAGAAGTATGTATTAACAGTAAAATTATTTTCTGTACAAAGGAGTGATGCCTTCAATTCGTACAGTACCTTACAGTTAGGGAAGTTCCACGTAGTTTTCAGAAATAGCATGACCCAATCAAAATCGATTTTTCTCTACCTTTTTCACGATTTAGAAAATGCCTCAAGGATCTCTCTTTTATACTTGTGGTACAGTACTGAGTCGCGTTAGATATCGCAGAAAAAGAGGTGAAAACGTACTAACTGCAATGCATCGATATTCAAGACTGCTGGAGTTGTTGGTCGTATGCTTTCAAGGCACCAGGCATCACTTTCCGGTCTTCTGTGATCCATTTCTTCGCTCGGTCACTCTTCTTCTTTAAGTCGTGGCGCACGAATTCCACAAAAGCAGACACCAATGGAAACGGCAGCGAGTATCGAACGTTGTTGGCGAGCGAGATATTTTGCTCGCTCTCCTCAAAGTTGAGGATAAAATATTGCCACATAAGAATTGCTGAGGACCACACAGGAATTGCTGAGAGCCACATAAGAATTGCTGAATCACACATGCTTTATGCTGAAGAACACATGAGATTTGCTGAATTGAGTATAGAGTATGTTACACAACGAGATCCA